AGCCAATTACAACTGTCGTCTGATCGATATCTATTAAAATCACATATATGCCTTCAGACTTTCGAATTTGAGATCTTCCAGATTCAGCACAAAGAGAAGGAAATCCTTATCTCACCTCTAATCTCTTCACAAGCTTTACAGAATAAATTCGGTCGTAATTCTTTCTGCGCAGCGAGGGCAAGGCTTGGAGAATGTAAACCTTAAAGCACTCATTTGAGGATATCACGTGAAAATGGATCGAGAAAATTCAAAAAAAAAGATAAATTTCAGCACCTTTTTAGCAATTTGCTCCATCTTATTCAATTTAGCTAACTGTTCTTGGAATACTTCATCATCATCTATGAGCACCTCGTAATTGAGTTTCTTCTTAGCCACCAAATGCCTGAAATATGAACAAGTAAATATAATCCGCCTAGTGCACAGCAGAAGGTCACCACGCGATGTCGCGCGTTGCCACATGTTCGCGCGCTGCAGAGGATTCGAACGATTCACTCTAACACTCTTTCACCCTCACCGACTTGCTTACTAACTCGTCGTGTCAGACCCTCCTCTCCCCCCCCCCCTTGAGGGACGAATCGATTAAATCTTTAAATCTTCAATAGCGCTACAGTATAATGTTTACGCGACGTCGCGTCGTGACCTCCGATCCTTATACGTACCTAATGACACACAAACTAATTGATATGCGCCGTGCATATCTCACCTAGTTTGTTTCATTGATCGAAGGCTATTTAGGCCCAACGATTTTTTTTTCGAACAGGAACGCTTACTGACCTTTGAAGTACAAAAATCACATCCGGTTTCAACGTCTCTAGCATCTCCGTATAATTCACTTTGACTTTGCAGTTCGGTTTCTGATGACGCACCATCGTGTCACACCCTGAATTCATTCCTAGTTAGCTGCCACTGTCAACTCCATAAACTGCAGATGGAAAATACTGCAAAACCACTACATATCGGAGAAAATAAGCACTGCACAAGAAATTTTCACTAAAAGAAACCAAACAAATCGTCCCAGGCTCAGCGAAACTTCAAGCGAACAGACGCGCGCGGTCGCGACGCGGATATTGGAGGAGTCACTGCTGGCTGCGGTCACACCTATTCATTTTTGCACAGCTTGACAGCTCAATAATCCCAGGTGTAGAATTACGATCGCCACAAATGACAGGTATACAGGGTAGCACTACAACTTTTACTCTAGTTGTCCTGAACGGAAGGGATGAATACGGTAGCTTCCACAGACCTTTCAGAGTCAGTATATTGAATTCATTTGCATGCTCATAAAAAGCATCATAAACCATTGGCCCAAGATTGATAGCGTAATTGTCGCCCAAAACGAGCATGTTGTACGTGCCGTTACCATTCTGCAACAATATGTTTCAGCAGAGAACCAATCAATACATCAAGTTGCATGATTTTTTTGAATTTTTTTTTCCAGCTACTCTACTATACACTTCAATAGATAACGTTGCTATACATTTCAGGGAATGACTAGATACAAGCTGAATGATCTCGAGTTATTGCAACGCACATGGACGGGTGTGGGTCAGGTGATTTGGCTTGCGGCAGCGCGGCTAGAGCGGCGTCGCATCGCCGCAGCCCGGATCTCTTGGTCCATGCCCGGTCATGTGATATCCTGACACACGTCAGTGGTACTTGAATGGCATCGCATACAGTCAAAACTGATGCTAAGCAAGCCCATACCATATGTATGTGTGTTGGGTGGAAATGAGTTTTATGAGGGAAGACTGGCACATTTCTGATTCCTTCCATTTTATTTCCATTCCCACGAAGAACATAAACTGCCTCTTCACTTCTGAAATGCGAAACAAAAGAAGGCAAGTTAGAGTAGTTCTAGGCTTGCACAGCCACCGTGTCGGGGAAAATTGCGAGATTTGCAGGATCCTCCTTCTTCGGAAGTGGTTTCACCCATTAGAGAGATTACAAAGTCCGGTGAGTGACCGCAACCGTAACACGTGACTGGTTGGCGCGCAACGTCACGTGTCATCGATTAGAATTCGACGTGCCCTTTTGTCGTTTTTCCGCGCACTCCACGGCGACAGAATGGGCGTGATAGAACCTGGCTCTTGTACGGAGCGTCCGTGCTGGTATATAGGAGGAGTATGGCAGTGGTCGAACTTGCCGGCAAGTGGTTTGGCGGCACCCCGGGGCTAACCTCCCTTGCCCTGCGCGCAGCCGCTTGCCTCGCCGCGCAAGCGGCGAGGCGAGTGCTGCGTGTATTTTTGGATAGTCGCCCAAGGGCGGCTGTGGTGGAGGGGGTATTGTGCACTCGCCAGCGAGGCGTTATACCCTCTCACGTTGGTGCTGAAACGTGTCGTGACTTCCGCACGACTTTACTTAAAGGGTTGCGCCTGGTCGGGTGTGCGCGGGTCCTGGCGCGCCCGCGCCATCGAAGCTTCGCGAAGGAAGTCCAGAGAAGCAGAGTGCCGGCGCCTCTGCCTGTCTTCAGTCTACGTAGTGCCGCCGTCGAGTGAAGCCGCTGGTCGTCGTCTGTTCCGTGTCGCCACCTCACGCTGTCCGTACGTCAAGGAGTGCATCCGGGCATGGATGCCCGTCGATGGACAACGGAACCGAGCCGCGTCTCCCTCGCGTAAGAACCACTACTGGGTTCGACCCGTGAGT